AAAAATAAAACCGCAAATTTAGAAGATGTTAAATAGTACAAAATACACCTCCAAGCCGAGGAAGAAAATTGATGGCTGAAGACATTTTGTTGCAACAACACACAAATTTGAGGGAAACGGGTTTTCAAGGCATTATTTAGGAATCTGGTGTGTTGACTCTGATTAGAGTTAACAAGAAATCTTTGCAAATCAATAGATGATGACAATTCAGCTGGGTACCCTCAAATGTACATCAATCAGTGAATCATGAGAGAGCAAAAACTTTATCTTGCTCTGAAATATCTGATTTTCTTTCTTTAGAGATGAAAAAGAAATAAAAACAAATGGCTTGTCAAAGAGTGTGAAAAGTTTGGAAGTATAAGCCCTAAGAATTAAATCAAATTTTGAAATAACCAAACTTTGCAGATGAAAATCTTAAAGTCTGCAACTCTAATCTATTTGGAAGGTAATGGCACCACCAGAACTTTTATCACACACTTAGAGAAGAATCTTTTTAAGTTTTTTTCTGAGGCCGTACTATAAGGCCCGAGTCGAAACAGTTTGCTTGGGAAAAAGAAACTTTTTTTTTTCACTCAAAACAAAAATCAGGAATATAACATTCATCAACATACTGGCGCTACTTCTTGGTGCTCCACTCTGTAGAGCACAGAAAATTTTGATAGCTTTTACAGGTAAACAAGTTTGCCCATTAAATATTTTACGAACCAAGACAATAAGAAGAGCTCCGTTATTTAACAACAAAGGATAATTAAAATTACAAAACCTTAATTAAGTCGTAATTTTGCACCAATTTAAGGTCTCTACTTGCTAACTAGGCTCAATGAGCATTAAATACTGATATAGCCTGACACAGACTATGACAAAGACCTAACTAATCTACCGCACTAGACATAATTTTGTTGGTACATCATAAGTTTTGTAAAACAAGTGCTCCAAAGTAAGTAAACGAATAAGATGGAAAATCGTTTTATACATGCAGTATTATAAACTAAATTTTGGGCAAAACGATGAACAGGAAACAGCAATGAATAAAAATTTGTGATAATGAACAGCTACCTGCATAGCAGATGTTTGCTGGTTGATGAATGAATTGATGAAAATGATGATAGGTGATGCATCTGTAAAACACTATGTGTTTGTTCCTGGACCCTTCGGTCTAATCATCATGCTTGCTCTCTTCAATGTGTAGTCCCATCCTCTCCATCTGAACCAGACTATACCTGAAAAAAGAATAGGACAACTTCAGAAACCAGTACTCTGTGGAATGATTTATTTCAGTATTTCTGATCAACTCTCAGTGCTTTTTAACTGTCTCAAGTCTGTAAATGAAATAGATTACCTTGCCGAGCCGTCAAATCTTGTGGGTCATTTAAGTAAAGTCCATTGAGACCTCTTCCACATGACTTCCACCACCAGCCTCCCTTCAGCATTGAGGCGCAGTTCAAGCTTGATCTGTCGTTATCCCTTAAATATTGAAAAATAATTATGGTTATTTCTATGGTTTAAATATTGTAAGTATAAGAATTTTTTCTGTAGGGTTGCTGCCAACAATGTACCTGTTATATGTTGAGAAAGGACTGTTATTTGATCCATACCATGGATCGTTCAGAGAATCGCCAGCATTACCTTCATATCCATCAATTTCCAATTTGTAGTACTCTGCTTCTGAATAAATCTTGAAGTGTGAGTATTGAGCATATCTGAAAGACAATAGATATTTTGAAGTAATATCATTGCAGTAAGTGAGCATGCCTTTCTTAACAAAGAAAGTTAAATAAAATTTTGAAACAAATTTTGTTTCAGTGTTGTTTGCTACTTACCGCTTGTTTCCTTCAAAATCTTCCAATTCTACTCGGAGCTGGTATTCTTCATTATTAGTGAGCATGTAAATATTTTCATTTCCAAGCCAAAACTCCTTGGCAGGGTCTCCAAATCCATTCTTGTAGTCTGCCCAGTCTCGGTTGAAGTTTTCACGTGGATCACCAAAGTCATCACGCCTTTGGATAACCTGAGTAACAAAATCAAATTTAAAGCCATCCCAGAAACAAATAGATGTACACAAGTCGAAGAATTACACTATATTTTTAGAAACTAAGTACTGCAGACATATAATAGTGGCAAAATCAAAATTATTTTGTATACTCACAGTCCAACCACCATCAGCAATCTCTTGCTCACAGAACACCTTGAGGAACCAATAAGTTGTACCTCGAATTTGGAGGTAGTAGACACCAGAGTGCCGCATACCAGCATTTAGTAGATCAACACATGAATAACCCTAAGAGATTGGAAATAAAATATGATTAACTTTCTCACATCTATTTTCCAGGACACATTTTTGAAAAGACAAAATGTTGTGCCACGACCAATTTGAGAATGACTTTATGTTGGTATTGCGTAAAAATCTAATTGATCTGATAGATTCCATTCATTGACGGAACACACTTACCTTCACGTCCTTGATCGAGAAGTACTCCGAGGTGAAGGAAGTGTTGAGGATGGTGGGCTTGTTCTTCACGGAGGGGAAGATGACTCCCCTGTTCCTGGAGGCGCGCGCAGCCGCGGCGGCGGAGGCTGCGGCGGAGGTGGCACCCCCTGGAGTGGACGTCACCGTAGACGAGGAGGTGGCCTCAGACGGACTCTGAGGCCTCAGAGTTGTCTGGCCCGCTGGGACAGGGGCGCTTGGGGTCACCTGTATTTTTTTGGAGGTGGAAAAATTGGTATGAGTAAGAGGAAATTTGGCAGCACAACGCTTTCAAATCTGTTACTAATAAAAAGTCAACGTGAAGGAGCGGTCGAGTTGCATTTCACTTGTTCCTCCAGCGTTACCGTTTGTGGAAGCTGGCCCTGCACGCTGAACACCGGCGCTGGGGTAGTGGTGGCGGTCAGGGAGGGGACCCCTACTCCAGGCAGGGGGTCTGTCTCGGGCTGCAGGTCATCTCGGCTCGACGCCACCTGGCTGCTGCTCGAAAGCACAGAGTACCTTCGGGGAAAAAAGAATGAAATATCGCTCTAGGATCCCAAACCCTTTCCTCGCTCGGGCGAGTGGGAAACAAACAGACGCGCCTAGCCCTGCTGATGATGACCCCAATGGTTTTTAAACTCACTAAATCATGCAGAAGGTTTTATATGGCTACACACAGTAGGGAATGACCGCGGCACCTGTTCGCTCTCCACCACACCCCTTACCGGTTGGAGTCGTACTCGACCAGGCGGTCGATGGTGGGGTCGAGAAGAAGCTCGGCGGGCACCGGCCGCTGAGCCAGGCTCACCACCTCGTCCTCCTGCTTCTTGAGCCTCTTCTCCACCAGGTCCAGGTTGGCGATGATCTTGTTGGCCTTCTGGCGGAGGTCAGCGTGGACGTCGTTAATAGCGCGTTCCTGTCGCTGCGTCTATTGGTTTTAAATAAAAAAGAAAAGGAATTATTATTCATTCAATCATGACATTCAATTAATCAGGGTATGTGACTGATTCGGATTCGACAAGCCATGTCGGAAACGATAGGCGATAAGCAAACCCGGGCACACGCATGCGTTCGTGAAGGAATCGTCCAGAAAGGTTTTCTCAGATTCGATCGGAAAATTACGGGAGCACGATGCTTGCGAGACTCGGGGTAGGCCATCCCGCAGCACACGCATGCACTGCAGGCAAGGTGTTGCCTACCTATCAGGCGCCATAAGAGCATGCACATTTACTGAACATGGCAATGTTGATGACGGAGGGACTTACTGGACGATTCCTATCACCTGGTTGGTGTAATTAAACGCAAAACGTTGACAATTCTTGAAAGGGTTGAAACGACCCTATCGGGTTTGGCGAGTGAGAACAAAGCGACTGACCTGAGTGAGGAGCTCGTCCGATTTGGGAACCAGGTCGTCGACCGAGGTTTTGGTACCCACAACCACGTCCCAGACCTCGTCCATCTTCTCGGACACGCTGAGGATGGGGTACATCTGCTTGACCAGGCGGTCCAGCTTGCTCCTCTTGACCTGCTGCGCGCTGGGCGCCTCCGTGGTGGTGGTGGTCGTGGTGGTGGTGCGGTTTCGGTAGACGGGCGAGGCCGGCGAGGCGGGCGGCGCCTCCACGTGCTCCACCACGGCCTCATGCACGTCGTTCACCATGGACAGCACCTTGCCGAGGTTCTCGGACACGAGGTTCATGTGGAAGGTGAGTTTCCGGTCGAGGCGGTCCACGCTGGCCGTGGCGGTGCGCAGCGCCTGCAGCTCGCGCGTCACCTCGGCGCTCAGCACCTTGCCGATGTCGACCACGTTCATGCTGACGGGCTTCTTCTCGCTGGCCTCGGCGTTGATGTCGTCCGCGGGCAGGAAGTTGGTGTCGAGCTGGTTCTTGAGCGTCGACAGCTTGGAGCCGATGTCCGACACCTTCTGGTCCAGGGAGACGAGCCGGTTGTCGATGTCACCCGCTGCAGCGGCGGCGGCGGCAGCCGCTGCTGCCCCGCTGGCCGCGCCGCCGCCACCCGCCGCCGCCGCGGCTAACCCGCCGGGCACGGCCTGGAACAGGCGCTGGTCCATAGCGCGCAGCTTGGAGATGACCGAGTCCGTCTTGTCGATGTTGTCGTTGACGCGCGAGTCGAGGGCCTCGACCCGCCGCATCAGGTGCTCCACCGCCTTGTCCAGGTTCTCGATCCGCTGCAGTTTGGTCTCCAGCGTCGAGACGATCACCTCGAACACGTTGAACAGGTACTGCTCCCTGAAACGGACCAAAAAAATACACCAGTCAGAAATCGACCAAGAAACCGTTGTTACAATATTTATTAAAAATAGCCAAAAATGTACGTAAAATTCCGCGTGTATTATTTTTTCCGCTCAAATGCGAACAATATTGTCGGGAAAGAAAACAAGGCAGCAGGCAGCAGTCGTAACCGGCCGCGGCGGCCTCTGCGCCTCCCCAATGGGATCGAACGAGCGGATTGAATTGAAACAGAATGGTAGCTCCCGGCTACACGCACCGCGTACACACACAAACACACACAAACACACACGCTCTCCCCGTCTCTCTCGCACGCACGCGCGACCCGTATCGCACCGCTTTGAATTGGCCGCGGGCCGTGTGCGTCGGGAACACATCCGCCGCCGCGGATAGCGTTGCGTCAGGCCAGGAGGCTGGTCGCGGCCCGTCCAGTCCAGCGGTGCGGAAGTGGAGCAGGTGATGCTCGCCCCGAGGCAGGAGGACCCTTGCCCACCTCTGCTGCTCTCCTCTCACACACACAACAACAACAACAACCGCAGAGGCACGAAGCGACGCCGCGTCACACAACCAGGCCACCCACAAAGGAAAGTCGCGCAAACATTGGCGCAGCAGCGCGTGTGCAGAGTGATAGTTTGTATAGGTGAATATCAAAACACTCGTCGTCATTCGTTCCGTTCTACACAGACTGTTGGGAGACTGGGACTTCCGAACGCGAAAAACGATGTCTCATTTTTTTTGAGGTAAGAGGGGAAACTTTGAGGGACTCCTATGTTTGAGAAAAACTCCTCCGATCTCGCCTCGGATTTTGAGGAATCTTCTCAAAAAATGAGGTAAAATCACACATTTTTAGGAGACTTCCTCGAAATCTGAGGAGTTTACCTCAAACCAAGAGGGTTCCTCAAAGTTTACCCTTTTTCTCTCAAAAAATGTGACATCGGTTTTACCGCGCGAACCGTTTCCAATCACGACGTCCCAGCGTGCTGCAGCACTTGCGCGCGTACCCCGTCCAGCACCACCAGGGCGGTCTCGCCGCCGGTCTGCGTAATAATCATTTCCCGAGAGTGAATAATATATTGATTTACAATCTGCTCCCCGCTGTCACGGCCCGCGCCTATATTGCGCCCCGGGGGAAGACTTTATCGATAAGCGCGAGCCACAATAAACGGCCAATTCCATTGTTTCGCAAGTCATTGCAACAACTTATATGCACTAGTTACGCAGAGTACCCCGCCCCCTCCCTCCTCCCTCCCCGCAATCCCTTTCCAGCTCCTGACAGGCCCACTATGAGCGCAAATAGCTTTGGATAGCAACAATCAGTCGGAAAATGAAGAGAACGAGGAACTGAAATCAGCGTTTACGTCCCCTCCCCTGCTGCAACAGAATCCAAATAACCTTTCCCCACTATTGCCTTTCAATAACTCACTTAGGCTTACGAGGAAGACAAAATACCGTAATCCTTCTTGGTTGCAGTTTGAATTACGCACTGTGCGTACCGCTCATTCTCATTACGACTTTTGGCGGGATCCGCATTCTGACACGAGTGACTCACCCCGCGGGGGGCGTGGCCGGGCGGGGCGGAGAGGGGGCCGCCGCCGGTCAGTCATCAGAGACTTCACACCGCGCGGTGCGCCAACATTGTTCCCTTAACAAGCCCCCCTCTCCCCTCGACTCTCCCGACTGGTGATTGCAAGGTGGACCGTGCTGCGCTATGGACCAGCCGCCCCGCCCCGCCCCGCCCAACCGCTGCTGTCCGCGATCCTGACGCAAGGCGTCATTAGTTATACAAACGTCCGGGGAATATGACTGTCCAGCGCCAGGGCATGGCGTGGCCTGGCGAGTCTGTACTCACTGTTGCAGTTTTATAGCGGGGGGC